TGGAAATGGTAAAAGGAGATATTTGAGTGGGTATTTTTCTATAATTCTCTTGGATCTCGCAAGAAACATGAATTGGCTTGGGTATTGCTCATTTGTGAAATTGAATCAAATATTGCGAAGAAATTTATTTATATTATTGAGAGATTAAGTGAATTCTTGAAAGCTTTATGGTTATTAATTTATAAAGTATAGTGTTGTCTTATGATTTAATTTTGGAATCGAATTAGAACTGGAAAGAAATTTTTATAATTATAGGAATTCAATTAAATTGCATTATCTTATATTCTTATAAGGGGTTTGGAAGAAGAAGATTTTGATAGGAACTAAAAAGGGAGAAAATCTTTGAAAATTTGGGAACATCACAGGTAAGTGGATAACGTCCCAATCAATATATATATTAAAAAATTTTCTTTATCAAAAGATTGCATTTAATAATTTAAGGATATTTATAAATTTCTCTTGCTTTAGCTACTTTTGTTAATTAAATTGCTCTGTTTCTTGAAGTCGTGACTTATACTTTTTATATTGCTGAAAATGCTTTCTTAAATTCTAATAGTGCTTTATTTGATAAAGCCAATTATAAAAAAAATTGTGAACAGTTTATGAGATATTAATTGTGAATTTTTATATTTAAAAATATTAGTACTTTTATATGTTTCATGCGAGTTAGATTTTAAAAAGAGAAATTATATTTTGAAAGTGATGATTTCCTCGCATGTCTGAAAGTGAATTTAAAAGGGGACTATATACAGAACGCTGGTTGCTAACGGCAGTTCCGTTAACCCTTGGCGCGCCATGGTCAATTACTAGCTAGTTTGGATTTCGTGAGCTTTGTTCTCACGTTTGTTATTCGTGGGTCTTGTATCTGCGTCTATTTTGTGACTTTGACCACATTTGGTTAGTTACCCTCGTGGACTATGTGTCCACGTCTGTTTCGTGGCTTCGGCTGCGTCTGGTTACTTAACCTTGTGGACTGTGTGTCCACGTTTGTTTTCGTGGCATAAGCCACATTTGGTGATTTATCCTTGTGGATTATGTGTTCACGTTTGTTACTTGTTCTGATAAGTCCCTATACTTATGAGTTTTTAAATTTTTATGGATCTATTTTCATTGGTTTTGATTAATGACATGTTTACAATTAGTTATTGCAATTATTTGCTTTATTAAAGTTAAATGATAATGACATTTAATAAGATGCTTTAATGAATTATGATTTTATTTAAAGTTACATAGAATTCTTTTATTTCAAATTTATTTAAATCTTAATGGAGATCATTATGTTTTAATTTTCCTTTTATTCATGTTTGATTATTTATTATTGGGATATTATTCACTGGAAAATAATTTTTGGTCTCAGATAGTGTAATTGACGTTGAATCACTCACTGAACATTGAGGAGTTTTTGATTGACTAGAAGCGGAGGAGCTAAGAATTTAACATTCTCTTGACGTAAAGTTTTAATTATGAAATTTTATTTTGTAAACTTATTATTCGGTGCTCCACATAGTCTGTGGTCATTTTTTTATGTGGTTATATATTTTATCTGTCAGCTGGAAGGAGCTCTACTCCTGATTGGCTTGATATTTTTGGTTGAAATATTGTCTTGTAGAATTTTTGGGAGATCTTATTTACGGAGGAGATTCTGTCAAAATTTCTACAAAAATATTGAGACTTTTATTACTACCAAAAATGTTTATGTATGTTCTAATTCAAACAAAAACATAATTATCTTTTAGTTATGAAAAGATTACCCAATTCAAAGCTTAAGGGATGTGTGATGGATCACATCCTTTGTCAGTCACCCTCTATTTTTAGAGTGTGATGCTAGTGGTGGTTGAAAAGAATTTAGTAATGAAAATTTCAAAGTTAATCATGACACCATATAAATGTTTTCTTTTTTTAGAGCTCTACGCGTACTTTCATTCTAAAAAACAAAAACACGCGTATATAATAGTAAAAAAAAAACCAATAGCCTTGTGGTATCTAAAACTCATTCTTTCATCAATTGTGGTGTGTTGGAAGGACAAAGATGTTCAAACAAAATGAGGAAAATTGGAAGAGAAAGGATGAATAATTAAACAATAAAAATTATGAGTGGGTTGTAGATTATAATATAAATTAAAAAATTAATAAAAAACAAAAAAATTAAGAATAATTTTCTTAATGATATCTATAATTTTTCATATTTTAAAAATTGGACTATATTAACTTCTACCTTAGTTATGGTTGAAAGAGTAAATAGATACATGTTATCCTTGCTCCCTGGTGAGAAAGTTGTGTACTTAAATTCTAATAGTGTTGTGAATGATGATGAGGGTATGGATTCACTTGTAACATGCACTTTAGACATTTTCTTTATTCAATTGCACTGCTAGGCCTCATGAATCATGAAATAAGGCTTAAAATGCGTGCCTCAATTATTTTAATATGGAACATTAATAAATTTATAGAGTTATGTAATGGTACAATTTCATAATTACTATAATATCACTCTTACTAAATCACTATTTCCTCCCAACAACCAATGCAATCATTAGATTAATCTAATTAGATTACCAAGTTTGTAATTTGTAGAAATGGAATCTCAGGTTTTTGTAATTCAAAGCTACTTAAACATCATTTGCTAAAGGAAGAATTACATTGAAGTCTATCACAAGGAAATTAGTTACTACAAAATTCATTAACAACTAAACAAGGATCTCTATACCATGTGTTGTGGCGTGTTGTACGTTATTAGACAACAACTTGAGACAACTTTCGATGCACCCCATTTCTCCGTCTAACGTCCAAATGAGGTGATTTAAATGTCAACAAAAAAGCTTTTTTTTTTATAAACTAGTTAATGACGAAGGTTTTACTTTTAAATTATTTCACACAAGAAAAATAGATACCCAAACATATTTTCTCAATTTTTTTACACTTTTCACAGTTTAAGAGTGTCCAAAACCTCACATGCATGCCAAAAGCTATCACTAATACCCAGAATACACTAAATAAATTTAGGACTACTTATATAACACATCAAATACACATAATTTCAATTATATCCAATTTTCACTTCTCAAACCCTTTAATACATAGAACGGAGAGATTTTTAACATTACATTTGACAAATTACTTTGAAAGTTATGATTAAATCAATATTCTTACACTTGCAATTAAATCAATATTTTTAAACTTGCACTAGTATTTTAACTTTATTAACACTTGATCAAACTTAGATACAACATTTTAGGGCCCAAAATATATTCGAAAATCATAAATAGAAATAAAGTGCAAGTGTAAACAAATGCATCTTCTAAATGATAATATCTTATCTATTATACAAAATAAACAAGATTAGGAGGTATTACAATAGAAATATAGAAATTCATAAACTTTCATAGCTTTTTCCTTTTTCACATGTAAATTAGAGTATGTAAAATATTGAAAAAGAAGGGTGAATATAATCATTCACTAACCAATTTATATCTATTTTATGCAATTACATATTAATTGACAAAACATTAAGTTCACACACACAAACAAACATAACCCTAAGTTAGAATTATAAAATATTAAAAGAGAGGGGTGAATATAACTATTCAATAACCAATGTATGTCCATCATATACAGTTACATATTAATTGATAAAACATTAAGTTCACACCCGCACAATCAACTATTGTGACTTGACATGTTGGATAAACATATGTATGATCAATTCCTTTTTATATCCTTTTTATTTCTTTCAACTGAAACCGTGAGCTATAATATTAAATTAGGGTTCTGTCTATGTGACTTGACTACCCAAACTTGCCAATTATAAGTAGTGACCAAGCCAAAGATCATTATACTTACTCTTGGACCATGACTTTTCCTATCCTTGAATCTTTGGAGTGTTGTAAATTCTAAGTTAGTCTCTTCAACAAATAGATAGAGATAGCTAAGTTCAAGTTTCTCAACAAATAATGGAACAGTCCTTCGATAAACAGTGAGATAAGGCTAGCTTTTGTGCACAAAAGACGATCATAAATTATCACTTAGATTTATTTACTCCTCTTTTTAAGCAAATTCTCGCCAAATAATCATACAATGTATGATGTTTATTTGTTTTACAAATTCATAGATCAATGACTTATTGGGTTACAATCCAAATCTAATCCCTATGAGCACTTTTAATACTTTTATGATTACTCTTTTTTTTTTTTCAACAACTCCAACACATAATGTGTACAACACACAATCATCACATCACTTATAATATAGATTCTCCTTATCACAATCATTGCATACACTTTATAACTTCTCATTCCAATGCACTTTATAAAGTAAAAACACTTAAAAGTTCACTTTACAATTATAAACAATATAAATTTGATAAAACTCATATGATTCATAATATATTCCTAATCAGAAATTCAATTATTCACATCAATGATTTTATTTTTAATTATTTTAAAAGAGATTTTTTTTTGATTATTCCAAATCTTTGAGAGGTCAAAGGTTTACTTCTCAATAACTTGCTTATGAACTTGTTCTCCAAGCCAATATGGTGCAAGAACGATTAATCTATAATTAATCAAGTTCAAACTTATCAACATTTTTATATACATATTTTCAACTCTCATTTTTCATTTCTAAAATATCTAAAGACTTCATTTCTTACATTTATGCATACTCATTATGTGTATTAATTTTATCAATCCCCAAATAATATCATTAAACTCTCTTTAGGTCATTAATATCGACCAACAATCACAAACATTCATAATTAATGTCCTAATTTTGAATGTGCCTCACTAACTAAAAGTACATAAAATCCTTAATCATTAGTTTTAATATCTTAAATAATTTTATTAATTCTATTTGAGTTACTTATATGGATCAAAAATAATATCTCATTATTAACTCTTAATCAAGAAAATGAGTTGGAAAGAAAGAAGAATAAGTTTATAGATTTACCTTTAGGCTTTAGGGTTTAATAGCTCGTGTTCTCTCTCTTTTCTTTCCCTTTTCTCCTCATCTAATCGTGCTTTATTTCTACGGAAAATAGGTTGCGCATAAGGAGCACGTCATATGCATCCCGACATATGATATAGAGAGGCTCATTCTCGGCACTTTTAATCAATTTTGTCAACTCTTTTTTTTTTGGCATGGAGGAAAGAACTATGATTTTTCCTCACGTTCGGGACGGATAACATTGACGTCAGCATAAACCCTCGCCTGAGAGGAGGCGCCTGGGCGGCAAGTTGATTGTCCAATCTTCTGTGCCAGGGTGTTAGGCTATGACGGTGGTCGCAGGCGGCCTTCGTGTGGCTGCGGTGGTGGATGGTATTTGTGAGGGCGTGAAAGCGGAGTTGCGGCTGGACGCAGCGAAGTGACGGAAGGCAGTAGTGTGAGGAAATGAGTGAGAGGATGGCGCGAGATTTGAATTCCAGAAAGAGCACGAGAATGAAAACGAAGGATTAGGGCGAAATTGATCTGTGGCGCGAGGAGGTCAATTGTAATGGCCTTATGGCTACCATTTGATTGTCACTGACGCCACCGGTTAGGGGCATTTTGGTAAATATACTCTGGGACAGCTATTATTGGATTTTGTGGGACTTTCTATTGATTAGAATTCCTCTGTGGGAACTCTTGATTCTCCCTAATTAAAACGCAGGAGGGAGGGAAAAGAGCACTTTCGTGGGAGCACAGAGAAAGGGAAGAAAACGATGCCAGTTGCTACGCGAGAGACGTCTGATGCCAGAATTATTGCTCACGTAGATATGGATTGCTTCTACGTTCAAGGTAGCAATTCCTCTTTCTCTTTTTCTTCAGATTTTTATCATTTACTTTTTTTTGGGTTGTTGTATTTTTTTTGGTTTTCCTTTTACGAAGTTAATTAGGGTTCGACAATGGGTTGAAAATCGTTGCAGATGCGAATTCTATCAAAACCAAACATGTTTACTTACCTCCTCTGATTGTCATGCTGTGGCGTAAATATTTAAACCCGATCTTTCGCAATTGTAGCCTCCCGGAAATCCTTACCCAGTTGTTCTTTTAATTTTAAACTTTTTCCCCTTGTTTCCAGCCTTTAGATTGAGTGCCCCTTCAATCCTTAAAGGTTAGATTGCATCAGTTACTAGCTTGCTACTAATAGTACTGCACTTAAGGTTTTGCCATTTACTGTAAGATGGAAGACAGATGGGACCACAATGATGTGTTTCTATAGTCATTTCGATATGCATATGATTCTGTAAACTGTGATTAAGATAATTTGGCTGAGGCAAGATTTGTCTGTCGTATTGAATTAAACTATGGGTTATTTCCTCACTTGTGTTAATACAATGTAGATAATCAAGGAACCTCCGTTTATGAACTGAGAAATACTTCTTTTAATCCATATTAGCAGATGGTCGAAACTTGAAAGTGTTATTTATTTAGTAATTCTGGTGTTGCCCTGGAAATTCAAATGATGGAGCTTTTGTTTCTGCTTATGTATGATATGCATATCTTGAGAGTTGAATACATCTAACTGTTGTTGGGGCTAAGACTTGTATTCTTTAGGACTGCATAATAGTTCGTGTGTATTGTCTTTTCAAGTATTTATCTCTGTTGTTGAAGAATATTATCTCTTTTCTATTCAGAATTTTATTTTCAATAAAATTCAACGTTGTATTTATCTCTTTGTTTCAATTTGCATCAGCTCATTGTTGTATTATATTTTCTTGCAGTTGAACAGCGAAAGCAGCCAAATTTAAGGGGCTTGCCTACTGCTGTCATTCAATACAACTCGTATAAAGGTGGTGCCTTAATTGCTGTGAGCTATGAAGCCCGTAAATATGGTGTGAAGCGGTAAGGATGCTGCATAAAGAGAGTGCTTTAAATCTTTAACAATTAGAACTTAACCATTCACTGAATTTCTTCAGTTCAATGAGAGGTGATGAAGCACAGGAAGTGTGCCCCCAAATTCAACTGGTTCAAGTCCCAGTAGCACGTGGTAAAGCTGATCTCAACACATACCGTAATGCAGGTTCAGAGGTGATTTAAGAAAGAAGTTTAACTACCTTAAAATGTGTTTTCAGCGGGACCATTTTACTGAGGTTGAAATCACTGAATTTCATGTTGACCAGGTTGTATCAGTCCTTGCAAGGAAAGGTCGTTGTGAGAGGGCTTCAATTGATGAGGTGTATATAGACCTCACTGAAGCTGCTGAAACAATGCTAAAGGAAGCTTCTCTAGAAAACCTGGATGATATTCATGAGGAGGTTCTCAAGTCACATGTTTTGGGGCTTCATGTTGAGGTCAGAGAATGCTTAAAGATGTTTTACTTTCCATGCTCTTTTACTGAAGTAAGACGGAATATTTATATTGTAAATTTGGTAAAGGAATATTCGACAATAATTTGGAAGTGAAATTGAGAGATCAAATTATACCTCAAGTGGAAAAGTTTAGATATTTGGGAGCCATTATTCAAAATGATGGTGAAATCAGTGGAGATATTTCACATAGAATTCAAGCTGGGTAGTTTAATTGGAGAAAAGCTAAAGGAGTTATTTGCGACCGTAAGGTGCCTAATAAACTTAAAGGAAAGTTTTATCGCACTGCTATCAGACCGGCAATGTTATATAGTAGTGAATGCTGGGCTCTAACGGGACAGCAAGAGCATAAAGTTGGAGTAGCAGAGATGAGAATGTTACGATGGATGTGCGGACATACACGTAAAGATAAAATTCGAAATGAGCACGTACGCGAAAAAGTGAGGGTGGCACCTATTGAGGAAAAAATGGTAGAAAATTGGTTGAGATGGTTTGGGCATGTACAAAGAAGACCAAGGGAGGCACCAGTGAGAAGAGTGGAACATATAACTTTGAGTCCGATTAAGAGAGGTAGAGGAAGGCCTAAGAGAACACTCTTGGAAGTTGTTGAACGCGATCTCTTAATTAATAATATTCCTAAAAGCTTGATAAATGATAAAGCACAATGACGTCTTGCAATCCATGTAGCCGACCCCACCTAGTGGGATAAAGGCTTGTTGTTGTTGCTGTTGTTGTTGCTCTTTTACTTAATTTTAAGGAAGCTTTTCTTGTGTTTTCTGTATGCTTTACTTAATAAGTTTATTTATTTCTATTTCCTGCATTAATGCTAAATTGATGGGTGTTCTTTTTAAATTAATTAACATATAAAATCTATTGGAAGTTGTACAATTCATACATCCTTGACTCCATGCGGTGTATGGGTTCATATCTAGTTATGATAACATTGTAAATAACTTTAATGTCTGACTATACGTTATTTTTCTTTCCAAATAAAATTTATAGCCAGCCAGGCTGAGAGGCATGACCATGCGAACTTTACTGATTTTTTTTTTTGGCATTTAGGATGGAAATGATGCCAAAGAAGAAGTTAGGAAGTGGCTTTGCAGGAGTGATGCTGATTACCATGATAAACTATTAGCTTGTGGGGCCATCATTGTTGCTGAACTCAGGATTCAAGTGTTGAAAGAAACTGAATTCACATGTTCTGCTGGTATTGCTCATAACAAGGTGAGAAGCAGGCTCGGCATGCTTTGATGTCTTTTCTTTAGTCTATAACTAGAAACTTTCTGCTTAAAGATACTTCCTTGATCTTTTTTGTTGCCATTGACTTGTGTCATTTTGTTCACAGATGCTTGCTAAACTTGCTAGTGCTATGAACAAACCTGCACAACAAACTATTGTACCACATTCATCTGTCAAAGGATTGCTTGAGTCTTTTCCAATAAAGAAAATGTATGCAATTAATTATACTTTATAATTTATTGTGTCAAATTACCAAGTCACATTGGCTTAACTTTTATGCCATACCCTATTGTGCTACATTTTGTTATGTTTTTGATGATATCAACAAAGCAAATTTTAATAGTGCGTAATGTTGAATTTGGTTTCCAGGAAACAGCTTGGGGGGAAGCTGGGGAGTTCTTTGCAAAGTGATCTTGGTGTCAACACTGTTGGTGAGTTGCTTCAGTTTTCAGAGGAGAAGCTACAACAGCATTATGGGATCAATACAGGGTGCGCATCTACATTTTAGCAATGCTTTTTATGTTCTGCATTTCTTGAACTTGTAGATTGTAAGTGGCCATATATCATTGAATTGTTTATGCAATCTTGTATTTTTAAACTACCAGTTTGTCTCCTTATTTAATATGATGCCATGTATTACCCCAATGTAGAAGGCATGATTATTTTAAATCAAATCACGAGGCATTGTGAGCATTTTATGTTTTGTGCATATATAACGCCTTGGTTTACTATTTTTCATGGCTATTAGTTGTCCATTTGTGTGTCTTTATAGCAATCTGTAATCCACTATTCCTGATTCTAGCCGTTACAGTAATGCAGTACTTGGCTGTGGTATATTGCAAGAGGAATCAGTGGGGAAGAAGTGGAAGGGCGTCTACTACCCAAGAGCCATGGTTCTGGCAAAACATTTCCTGGGCCTCAGGCTTTGAAGACAATTGCATTAGTAATTATCCTCTTCTGACCTTGTCTACTTGATTTACAGTGGTACTACTTTCTGCAGCATGGCATCGAAATAGCTATTAAACAGAAATAGCTTCTATCAATATAAGATGTCATTTGATGCACTAGATCCCTAACTATGGAAAGTTGTAGCTAGATTAAGTTGTTATAGTTGGAAATGCTTTAACCATGATGCCTTGGAAGTGTTAATATTTAAAGCTCGTCTGTTGAGGGTTAGTGGTATTGTATGTCTGCAATGTGCAGCGGTTAAAAATTCCATCCTAAACTGCAACCTAATAAATCTGTGATGGTTTGATGTTCTTCAACATCCACGTTTTAGAAGCCATTCCATTTATGGTCTATGTCTAACTGTCAATGCAAGAATTTTTTCCTTTTTTTTTTTTTTAAAGGAAGCATTCATTTTTCAGTTCATTTTTTTTTTGAAAATACTTCAATTGGTACACGCAAGAAATAGGCCAATTCCGCCACTTTTTGTTCAACTTCTCGTGGAGTCAAATTCTCATCAGTACAAGTCAAGGGAATAGCCTCTATATGAAATGCTAACGTGAATGGAAAAGGGAACGTTTGAATACCATCTATTAACATCACTGAAGACATTGTTACAGTACTTTTCCAGAGTGAATGGGCTTCTAGGTGTGGTATTTCATTAGTGATTCTTTCAGGACCGTGGCTTGTCACATGAGTTTGAATTTCATATTTTCGTTTGGTCTTGAAATTTGATAAAGTGTGCCCAAAATTTGTATCTGTCTTTTGGCTTTTGAGGTCATTTCAACAAATACATTTCTGATCATTTAATTACACCTTTTACTATAGAGATATTCCTTGATAATCTGCTGTCAGATTTGCAAGTATGGCAACTATCTCTGTCAATAATGTATTGAATCTTAAAGAGCCTCTTTCTTCCTGCATCGTCTGCATGATTCTACCAATTCTTCTATAGCTGCTGAGATCTGCCACTTCTCCCTTCCCTTTTTCATGCAAGTTTCAACTGTCAAATTGATGTTGGCTCTTAAAGAACCTCCAATATATGTGTGCAGGCTGAGGTGCTTTTTTTTTTTTTTTTTGGTGAAAATAGGTTGAGATTCATATCACTGACTACTATGGAAATATACTTTTCTATATTAAGCAGTGAATTGACCCTTTTCTGATGCTATCCCAATGCCTTGCGACAGGAACAGTACATGCCCTACATTTTGCTGCATGAACATCATGTAATGAGATCAAATTATTTTCTTGAAGAAGGAAATATATAATTATAAGGAACTCCTTTAATGTAATCACAAAAAAGAGGGACAGATATTAAAGAAGATATGCCCATGTGGCTAAACATAGTTCAGTTTAAACTTGAAGGCACTGCAAATCTGCAATTCCATACGATGGTTCAAACACCCCCCTTTCTGTCTTTTCTTGGTTCAGTTTCCTATTATTTTATCTGTTATTGCTTATTGGATCAGATCCTTTCATTGCCCCAAAGTAAACTAAATGCCTTTGGCTCTTTTCAATTTTTATTTTATTTTTTCAAATGAGTTTAGGTACTGGCAGGCTTCGTTCGGAAATAGGTTATTGGGTTTCTATTAGTTAGATTAATTGGAACTTGATTCTTGGTTTCACATGCAATAAAGTCAATTTCATTACATTGCTTTGTATAATTATTTGTTTCTTTCCTCAGGTTCAGCACTGGCTTAATCAACTGTGTGAAGAGCTGAGTGAACGTCTTCAATCTGACTTGGATCAAAATAAACGGATTGCGCGTACACTGACTCTTCATGCTAGAGCATATAAGGTAGCTTTTCAATAACCGATATGTGCGTCATTTTCTATATTTAGATGCATTTTCACTTTTTCATAGACAATATGAAATTTTATTCTATTTTATCTTAAACTATTGAGGTTTTTCTTTGGCAGTCAGGTGATTCAGATTCACATAAAAACTTCCCTTCTAAATCTTGTCCTCTAAGATATGGGACTGCAAAGATTCAAGAAGATGCTTTAAATCTATTTCAAGCTGGATTACGTGAATATATTAGCTTTTACAGCAATAAAACACAAGGAAGCCAAAACAACAGTTGGGGAATAACATCACTTTCTGTTGGTGCAAGTAAAATTGTCACCATACCATCTGTAAGTTTGAATTGATTGTGTAAACTTGTGGCATCTGAGGGCTCATCTCAAAACAGTGATCTATAGAGCTAGATTTTAAAGTTAAAAAAATTGTCTGCAATTCTTCTCAGAAAATGATATTTGTTGGTTCCCTCTGTTTTCAATATAACTTGGGCTGTTAATTTGTTCTTCGTTTCATTTAGATGCTTTCACATGTTGACATATTTGTTAGAAGCATTTGAATTGGACTAGATCAGTTGCCATGATAATATGAGGTCGTCAAGACGTCAACTACTAATGTTTGTCTACCTTTTCACTTTGAAATTTTTGAGCATTACACAAAATCTACCCTCAATTAAGTTGGGCCGAATTACATCTAATATTCCTTTTGTTTTACATTACGCATGGCTCCCATCACGTTTGATGTGTATTTCAAAAACCTCATTTCTAGTATATTTTTTTATAACAATAAAAATTTTCTGCGCAATATGCATTGCTTTGAAAAATAGAATTTCTTGATTATCTTTATTGTGATGTTAAGAATAAATCAAAGTCTCATGTAAATACTTAATATGAATTTAACGGTTCTATTGTTAACGATAGAATTACATCTTCATAGTCTAAAAATTTAACTTTGACAAAAAGGAAATTGAAAGTCAACTGTTTGCAGTTTATATCAAATGTCAATGAAATTTTGTATAATATTTAAAACAAGAGTGTGGCCTATATCAAGTGTAATTGAGCCAAATTCCATATGTTAGTGTAATTTAGTTTGTTGGGTGGAACAAAACAATTTTGTTGCCTAATTATTTTTAAAAATTATGTCTTTTTAACTTCATTTGTGCTAGGGAACACATTCAATTGCTAAATACTTCGGTGGGCAATTGTCACTCTCCTCATCTTTGAAACAGCCACCAGAAAATATGGTCCATGAAGCTGCTCCATCTTCGCTCTCAGGTTATGTCATATCATCAAGTTGCTTTGCTTAGTAATTTTTTCTCCTTTCCATTATAATCTGAAGGTGGTAATATGCTTAAGCAGGCAGTGAAAGTTGTTCGGGATTGAATTCATACGAGTCACAGCTTGGACATCCTGAAGACACAAGAATGAAGTATCCAAAGGCTAGTTTTGGTCAACAGGTTGATCAAAGCCCTTATGTGGACTTAATGAAATGATTCACTAGTTTGATTGCTGTCTATATTATTTCAGAAACATGAAATAACCCACTAATTTGATTCGATTGCTTTCATATAATAGCTTACTAAATGACTGACTTTTATTTTGGTCAACTGAACAACTTGTGTGCTTATTTAATTACCTTCATTCAGTGTCATCTCCTAATCCTAGGATTCCAAATCTGTATAAATTTTGGTTGGTTAAAAGATGTTCTTCAAGATGGCTTACTAGCCTTTGCTGCAGTTATTTCTAGTATGTATTAATCATCTTTTTAGGACTCTTGTAGCTTGTTCCAGTTTTTGATAGCCTGTCACACTGGTATTTCCAAAGTTGAAGACGGACAACGCCAAAATGAAGCCTATAAAAATATAGGATAGTGTGTAACTGGTAAAATGGGTTTTATTTCTGCCCAGGAGTTACACCTGCATCTAAGCCCCTTATTTTCTCTGTGCTTTATGTTCTAAACTTTCCACTTCTGCTAGGCCCTCCTACTAGACACATGGGCTACCTGATATTTATTGTTATAATCTCATCCTGAAGTAATAATTGATACCATGGTCCTTGCTTATGGATACATGTCGGAGTCCCTTTAATTACATGACCTCTGTGTGATTTGATGATGATTTTGCATATAATTTTACTTCTTTACCTACATTACAATTGAAATCAATTGCTTTTATTACCCATATGAAAATTCTGTGTTAGCAGAAAACACGTGGAATCATATTTTTAAAAGTAAAATATATAGTTGCAGGACTCATCTTGCAACTTATCCAGGCAGGGAGATGGCTTGACTGAAGAATCTTCCCTTTTTTCAACCCAAGGTACAATACTGTCTTTAATTCCTATATTCTTCATTTATCTCCCTCTTCCCCTCTCCTCATCTGACATTGTGACCAGTGGCAGCTTTTTATTCAAGAAATGAAAATGGATCGGCAGAGGGAGCTCCGCGACAGAGTTTTCCTGTGGAAGAACCTAGGCGCATTCACAATATGCCTACATCGAAAGCAGTTGAGAAGAAAAATACAGCTAAAGAAAAGGTTCTGTTTGCTTTGTGAGATTATTTTTAAATGCATTGCGAAGAAACGTAGGTAGGGTTTGGGTGTTAGATTTGGATTTGAATTTAAACTTAGAATCTCACCTTTAAAATTCATGTATTTAAAATCCTTTATTTATATGGTATAAAAAAAATTTCAAATTCAAAGACAATGAAAAAGAAAGATGTGAATGAAAATGGAAAGAGAATGAAGGGTTAGAGTAGTTAGCATTTCAAATAACTAGGATGTTAGGAAGGATTTAAAATTAAAAAGATATTATAATAAAATATGGATTTTAATTTGGATGAAATCCAAATTCATCAATTTTGATGGATCTAGATGATGAATTTGGTTCAAATATAAGTCCCCATGCATCCATACCTAATATTAAAGATCTTTATCATGTGAGACTCTATCGTGGGATCAAATAAAACCACTTCTTTTATCCTAACTGAGTTTCTGCTACTATTACTTCCGGGGAAACAGAAGGAATGATCATTTCAAGTTCCAGTTCATGTTTATTGTTAATATGGAGCTTGAACCATCAATATAATGTTAATGTAATTTTGTTAAACATCTTCAATTATCAAAATCAATTTCAGAAAATATTATCCAAACATCATCACATTTTGTTAATCAAATTTTTTTGTAATTAATTTTTGCCAATTAAAATCGAAACACATCCGAACTTCTTTTCTATATATATGGCTACAGGGTAATTGTTCAATTTTAAAATTTTTCAAGAATTACCATGATCATTGCACTTCTTTGGAGAAGCAGCATGCTACTAATGCCCAAGGTGGAAAAGCATCATCAATCGGTAATCTTCTAATCCATTTGCTTTTATCATTACACGCACATGTAGAGATGTATCAAGTGAGATATGGGACGTCTTGTAAGATGTGAGAGAAACAACTTATCGTTGTTATATTACAAATGAACGGTCAAGATTAATGAAAAATCATGGGTTAAAGGGCAATTAATGTTTTGAGAATGAAAACTTTTTTTTTTTTTTTGGCACGATCTCCTCCTAAACTTTTAAAAACAATGTAATGTAACTCATACCATTAATATAAGTTAATTTTGACTGTTGGTTGTCTAGAAAATGATAGAAAAAGACTAAGATAATTATAGAAAATACTCAAGAAAATTTCAGACAATGACTTAAAATGACCAAATATTTTTTTGGTAATTATAGTTTAGGAGTCAAATTGCTATGTAACCCAAAACTCATTATACAAGTGTAATAAATCTCATGATTTTGCATTATTGATCTGTGATTTCTCCAATGCACGCCCTCCCTTTTGTCTTCCTTATTCATTAAGCGATATAAATCTGCAGGATCTGGGTCGAATTGCAGTAGTGATTCAACATATAACAATCAAGTTCAAGTTGAGTTATTGGAAGAGACCCATTGCGAAGAAACTGGAACAACCAATGGTGGAAGCAGTTCAGGTCATGTGGTGGAGGGGGGACAATCATGGAGTTACAGAATGGAGGAGATTGACCCCTCTGTCGTTGATGAGTTGCCGCCAGAAATTCAACAGGAGGTTCGGGCCTGGCTCAGGCCCATTAAGCGGCCTAATGTGGTGAAAAGAGGTTCTGTCATTACTCACTATTTCTCTAGCAACAAGAATTGACAAAATGATTAGATTAATGGTACTGTTCTACTGTAAATATAATGACAATGATATTTGAGGCTAAAATATTAGCCTTAGGTTATATATAATGACAATGACAATGATATTTGATTTGTTTCAGCAAACAATCATCGTGTGGTGTTAAATGGGATAGGTTTAATTTTATTATTCATCCCTATAGAATCCCAAGAAAGCTGGGTTTGAAGATTCTTGTGCAAGTCGAGTTTGGATTTCTTTTTGTAAATAAATTATTGAATATAGTACTATTCATGGTTGTCAAATGAGTTAATTTTCTGATTTTGTTGTTTTTACATTTTCAATTTAGAAATCATGTTAACTTGTTCATAAATTTAAATTAGATACAAGTTCAATTATGCTTATAAGTTGACTATTTATATTTATTATTTTTATATTTTTAACTTATAAAATATTATCAACTTGCTGATAAATTTAAATTAAATATAGAATCAGTTATTGATTTTTTTTTTATTGAGTTTGAGTAAGTTAAGTATAAACCTTGTAGAATTTGGTTCATACTAGTAGTAGGATTCAGTTTTAAAAAAATTAAAATACAAAAACTAATAGTAAAAAATAAAAAATACTAAAAATAAGTTGTTTTATTTTTAAATTTTTATGTTAAGTGTGATAATTTATCAATATTTTAAAGTTTATTTAAATTAAATTATAATTTATATTCTATATTTTAATTTTTTGATCATATATTTTTAATAATCATTTATTAATAAAGATAAGTTTTTATGAATTTATGTTCAAGTCGTGAGTTTATTGGTTGCTGACGGGGGGACATTGTTGTGTGTATCTTAATTATTATCTTAATTAATCTCGATGGCACCAGACTACCCGTAGCTATTGTACGTGTCAAGTTATATAATTAGATCGTCACATGCTACTCCATTAATACAAATGAAGTTTTTTATGACATCCACTCTTTTTACCATCGCCATTAGTACTATTGCTTGAAAAGCTAGTTAATATTGCCTAAATGCCAACTACTAAATAAATACTCATGGAAATAATACAGAGATTCAATAAAAAAAATATTGAAAAACAAGAATATATGGAGGGAAAATGATCGCACAGATAAACAATAAAGTAACAATACTAATGTATTTTGTTCTTTTAGTTAGGGATTAATTTTGAAAAATATAACTATTACTCCCTATACTTTTACTTTTAACTTATTTTGGTATTAGTTTTCATATTTTTCTTCATTGCTCCTATTTTTTAAAGTTTCATTTGTTTGGAATATTAATCCTTATTTTCATTGACAGAGCTAAATTTATTTATGTATATAACTCTATTAATTCTGTTATTTTATTGAATTGATAAAATTATAATCAGTTAAATATTGTATGAGTAAAATTGTTGCTAACTTTTTTGTGTAGTCATCATGTCTTCTTTTTTCTAAAATTTTGCCCATCACACATTTAAGGATTTTAATTTAATTTTCTACTTGTTTCTTTTTGCCTTCTACTTATTTTTTATATAATTTATTATAATTATAATTTAATAAGTTAGTATGAGAAGTAACAGGATTTACATGCACATTAGCCACTATTAATTCCTTATGATCATATTTAAAAATATAGAGATTAGCATTGCAGACAAATGAAATTTAAGGGGCTATGATTAAGGAAAGAAAAGTATAAGGATTAAAATCCAAACACATTAAAAGTATAGGGACCAACACTTGCATTGCTTTTTTTTTAGGATAAAGCCAACACTTGTATTTTCCCTCTTAATTATCAAGATGAATTTTTAAAGCTTCCTCGCGGTAGATCATCAAAGATTGTGACTCTTGATACCTGGGCTAGCTTTAATTGTTAAAAGATGAAGTGGGGTATGAGTAATGGGATAAAGTTCTTATTCTGCTAATATTTCATACTCTGTTACTCATTGCAATATTACTATATTAAAGATTATTTGTTATATGTATTACATTACAGTTGGGGTGCCTGCATGAATTTCTACACTTGAAATAATTAATATTTGCTCTGTTTCTTCCTATAAGATATTTTTAGTCTTTTAGAGAGTGCGGTGTTCATACTTCATATACATAAGATGATTTAAAAAATTTTATGATAATTTTAGTATCATCCACTGACAATGGGCATAAAACTTCCTCAATGACTAAATAAAAAAACAAGGGAAAATGACAATTAAGTATCCCTAAAGATATTAATCTTAGTCGGGGACCATAAAATATAGAAATCCCAATTAAAATTGGGATTTAAAAAAATGCAAATTGTCGAAAATACCCTTGAGAGAAAAATATACCCTTGCAGTGCAGCCCTATTTGCTCTGTTTCGGCATCTCCTTCGTGTTGCTTTCATTCTCACTTGTCCTTGTTCTTTGTCATTCCTTGACGTGTCCATATTAGCTCTAGGGTTGTGTCAATCACCGATGACAGGTCTACTACAATGTTGGTCCCCATTTTTTTGCTACACCCCTTGCCATTGCTCCGTCGCATTCTCTGCCATAGCTCCAACTGCCATTGCTCGCATTTGAGGTCTCCTATACTTTGCACAGCTGCAAAGGTTAGGATTTTTATCTATAAAGTCTGAAGCTTATAATATGTTGTGGTTTTCAATTTTGGTGAGTATAGGAAGAAATTTTCCATCGATAAATGTCAACTTTAAAAGGTGAAGTTGGATCAATGCAGGTCAGGGAACCTCCCATTCAAGATATGATGCTTTTGGATAATGTTTGTTTGTGGTAGAAATTAGTAATTTGTCGAGCTGAAATTGTAATAGAAAATAGCAGTTACTCATTTTTCCAGTTCAAAATTTTGGGTTCCTTGTATTATTTTGCATTGTTAGGCTTTACCATATATATCTCTTGGAGGACATTCCTCATTTCAGAGATGTTCTTGAAGATAAATGAAACCCTTGTATTTCTTCTGATTTAGCTGCCTTGAGTGGCTTGCAAATTTTGTTCCTTAGTTCTCACATATGCATGATCATGTTCTAACACGTTAGTTTGTTCCCTGTATCATTTATTATTTGGTGGATAGATGTATTTTGCTATGTACTTGAGGACAATAATCTGTATATTCATCATCATCCTCATCTTTTAACTTTGCCTATGTTTTGTGGTTAGTTGCAAGTCTAGATAAAGGAGGATGGTTGTGTTAGGTTTATAATAGTTAATGTAGAACTATCAAATTTTATATGAATATAGATAATTGATGCACTTTTATGTACTTTTGGTAATGCTTGGTCATTGTGCTTAAGCAACACACTTTATTTGCAAATGAAGCAAAATTATGTCATGTAATTTATATAAATATAATTGATTTTATTAAATGTGATAAAGTTGGTTGGTTGTTGATTTTATAATTTTCATGTGGCACGTTAATGGTCATTTCCATGTCTATCTCACACAACCTGTAGGTTTACAATTACAGGTTAGTTTTCCGTTATAATTTAATTTGAGTTTTTTTTAATGACGATAATCCTAATTTGCTTGTGTTCTCAGGGTCATGAATCATTGTTGGATATTTGATTATGCAATGGGTTAAGTTTTATTTTCCTGTAAAGGAATAATAATAATTTTTAATAGAGGTGAGCATATATTAGGCTGGTTAGATAGTAAATTATTTAAGACTATAATAATTGAACAAGACACTTGGTCAACTTGAGAGGGATTGAGATTAATGTATGCATGCTTATCATAAATTGATTGGAGTCTATGTAATAGATTGAATTGTGAATCAATATTTTTTATAGGAGGCAAGACATTTATATCTTTTGTACAAAGAAATTATATGAAGAAAATTCAAACTTGATGTTTGGTGAATTCAATAGTGTTATTATATGTATTTATTAGTGACGTTTGATATATTCAATAGTAGTTTATTTTTTATATACATTCTTTTTGTGTGTAGGATAATGGCCAAGACAAAAGGAAATTCTTTAAAGCAAAAAAGTTGTTCTGGCTTGAGCAAGTTTAAAGAGGTCTATCATGGCAATTATAGAACCCAAGGTCTGAAAAAACTAAATGCAGAAGTTATCACAGCATGGACAAAGCTGTCATTGAAAGAACAAGATCACTATAAGCGTCTAGCCAAGGAGGAAAATGCTAGTGTAAGAGCGTATGAGGTATGTTGTTTTTGACCTCAAGCATGAACAATGTGATGAATTTAAGTAATGGTGCTGACATGTTTTTCTTAGACATATTCCATTTGAGACAAGGTGTTCTTTGATAAAGATGAAGGAAATATTTGATTATATCAAGAAACAAAAATTCTTGAGGGATCGGGTTAATAAAATAAGTTTTGGCAAGCTTTTAAGTATCAAATGTCATGAGTTGCCTCGAGATTTATGTGAGGAAGTGATGAAGGCATTTGATCCTCCTACATCATCCCTTTTCATTAGAGGTCAAAGGAAAGTAATCAATGGCAAAGCAGTTAATGCTTATTTGGGTTGCCTAATGACAGGGAGATGGTTGATTTTAATGGGGATAAGAATAAGCTAAAGTCCTTAAACAAGGACTTTAAAAGAGTATCATACAATGTAATAAAGGACAAGATACTCTTGGGAAAAGAAAATGATAGATTTGATTTTCTCTTTATTCTATATTGCTTAGGGAATTTTATTTGTCCAAGTTTGAGTTACAAGATAAGTGACAAATTATTGAAGGTCATGTTTGGATTAAATTTGGGAATTGTATGTTATGATTAGTCATCTTTTATACTCTTTGAGCTTGGAAAAGAAGTAGCTGAATATAAAGCATGGGAGAAGAAGGATGGGCACAAAAAAACTATTAGAGGATTCTTATTTCTTCTTGTGATATGTGAATAAATTAAGATATAATTGGTTATATGTTAAATTATCTTGAATAAAATTCTATAGGTTATATCATATTGATGTAAATATGTAGATTTTCTACTTTTAAATGTTTCCATAGAGCTAATTGAAGTGCCATTGCAAGAAGATACTTTGGAACATTGGACAGAGGAGAGACTGATAGCATGAGTGCAACTTGAAAAGGTAAGTGATCATGGCATTTTATATCATCCTTCCTGAGGAAATGAGAGCTTCTTAGTAAATCTTTCAAAATTGAATTCATTTTATGATCTAGTAAGGAAAAAATGATGGTTGTTAACTAGCAAAGTTATGTTTTATGTAATTTTAAACATATGACATTTTTTATGGTACGGAACATAAAAGAGCTATATAGAGATGTTGTAAACTTTACACGTGAAATTGCACAAAGACTCCTTAAGCTCTAAGGTAAAAGAAGAGGAGAGAAAGTTGTTCAAAACCATGATGATG